TAAAATTGCATTTAGACGTAAAACTGCTCAAACTGTGTTTAGACGTTTTAGACGTAAACTGAGTTTGGACATAAATCTGCGTTTAGACGTAAAACTGTGTTTAGACGTAAATCTGCGTTTAGACGTAAAATTGCGTTTAGACGTAAAACTGCTCAAACTGTGCTTAGACGTTTTTAGACGTAAACTGAGTTTCGACGTAAATCTGCGTTTAGACGTAAAACTGCGTTTAGACATAAATCTGCGTTCAGACGTAAAACTGCGTTTAGACGTAAATCTGCGTTTAGACGCAAACTGCACTTAGATGCAAACTGCGCTTAGACGCAAACTGTGTTTAGACGGAAACTGCGCTTAGACGCAATCTGCGCTTAGATGCAAACTGCACTTAGATACAAACTGAGAATTAGCTTTTGCATCATAATAGTTTTTATTGAACGAACGCGGCTTTTGGTTTTAAATCGCTATAAGATTTCCGCTGCACTAATTCACCCCCCCCCCCTCTTAGTACTCTCGATCCTAACATTGAGCACCTTCTTCTTTAGTATTCTTTTTTTGGCTTGGGGACATTCACTTTTATAGGATCCCGACTTCTAGCATTCATAGCAAATTACTTGGTTTTTCTTGGTTTCAAATTTATTTTTAGTGTCATTTTTAAATTTATTTCTTTTAATAAATTTTTTAAATTTTCTTGTTAAAAGTGTCAAGTCATCGTCGAAGTCCTCATCACTTAAGTTTTCTCTCAAGTGGTCTTCTTGAGTTCTAAGTGTCATATCCTTCCTGTTCTTTGGAAGGATGTTCTCATGCTCTTCATGAGCTTTGCATGTTATTTCGTACGTCATTAGTGACCCAATTAATTCTTCAAGAGGAAAGTTGTTTAAATATTTGGCCTCTTTAATGGCCATGACTTTAGGATCCCAACTCTTTGGAAGGGATCTTAAAATTTTATTAACAAGCTCAAAATCCAAAAAACTTTTACCGAGTCCTTTCAGATCATTGACGACATCCGTAAAATGGGTGTACATGTCTCCTATGGTCTCACTCGGTTTCATTTGAAATAGTTTGACTCTTTTACTCTACTCGTGCCTTCGTGAGTCACTTCGAGTGTATGCCAAATATCAAAAGCAGTTTCACAAATCGAAACACGACTGAACTCGTTCTTATCTAGTGCACAAAATAAGGCATTCATAGCCTTTGCATTTAGAGCGAAAGTCTTCTTCTCCAATTCATTCCAATCGATCATTGGAAGAGAAGACTTTTGAAATTCATTTTCTACAATATTCCAAAGCTCAAAATCTATGGAAATAAGGAAGATCCTCATTTGAATCTTCCAATAGGTGTAATCCGTCCCATTGAACATGGGCAGACGTGTAATAGAGTGACCCTCTTGGTTTCCGGCAAATGTCATCTCTCTTAGGTTTTAATCCAACTGAGAGTGAACCTCACTCTGATACCAATTGTTAGGATCAAGAGCGCACTAAGAGGGGGGGGTGAATTAGTGCAGCGAAAAACTTTTACGATTTAAAAGACTTATTAAGATTAAAGTTGATTTAACAAGAATGGTTTCAACTTATCCTTTTGGAAGAACTTTGAACTTGAAACCTTTTGGGAAAGAGCAAGAGAAGACTAAGGTGATTTGCAGCAATGCAAATCACACAACTGAAAAATGTCGATTTCGTAAAGCTTTCGTACAAGTAAAACCGATTTTGGAAAATATTTATATCAAACCAAATGTGGATGTATTTAAAGCACAGTAAGGAGGAGAGGCAGTTTGCTATAAAGGAAAGATGCTCAAAGTAAATGCAAACCGAGATTTTAGAGTGGTTCGGTCAATCGTGACCTACATCCACTTTCGACTTCCTCCTCCGACGAGGTCACTAGCATCCACTAGAGGCCTTCCTTCAATAGACGAAGGCCAATCACCCTTTTATAGTTTTTCTCCTTTTGACAGGCTTAGGAGACAACCCTTACAAGTTTTCACTCCTCTCTTGAATGATCAACACTTAAAAAAAAAGGAGGAGAATTCTAGCTTTTACAATACTTTTAAGGCCTCAAAACTCAAGATTAAAGCAAGTTTTTCGTTGCCCTTTCATGCATGAAAGGGTGGGATTTATATAGACTCCAATGAGTTTGAAAATGGAGCCTAAAAGTGTCCATTCCTAGATTTTCGGGGTCCTGCGGTACCACCGCCATAATTGGTCGGTACTACTGCCTGTCATCTGTCACTAAGCAGTACCACCACTCAGTCTGGGCGGTACTACCGCCTAATAGCGCTCGAAGACCGAGCTCAGGCAGTACCATCGCTTGACAGGGGCGGTACCACCGTTGGCAGTAATAATTGCCAACGGTACCACCGCTTGACAGGGGCGATACTACCGCCCAGAATTCCTAAGAGACTGAGTCTCCTGGGCGGCGCCATCGCTAGCCCTGGCGGTGCCACCGCCGGCTAGGAATTCTGGGTCCGAATGGGCTGTTCCATTCGGCCCAATTTGGGTCTGTTAAGGGCCCAATTGGCCCCTGATTAAGTTAGTGGGATCACCTCCCAATCCTAACTTAATATACACACTAACTATAACAATTAAGACATCATTATTGCAATTCATGTTCTGGTGCGCCAATCGCTTCTTCCGATGAGCTTCCAGCGAACATCCGACGAACCCTCAGCGATGCTCCGGCGGACTCCCGGCAAGCTCCTGGACTTCGCAACGATCTTCTTTGCGAGTTCCGATGAGCTTCTTTGGCAAGCTCCAAGACTTCTTCGATGGTTCCCGCAGAACTTCCGACGAACGTCCAGACTTCCGACGAACTCTCGAACTCCCAATGTGATCTTGGTCTTGACTCCGGCTCAACACCTGCTACATGTTTTACTGCCATCGTAGTTAATCTTGCACACTTATCTCAACATATAGATTAGATAAATAAATGATAATTAACTTCATCATCAAAATTTGAGATTCAACAAGCTGTCCTTCCCTCTCTCGAAGCCTCTTTGAACTCTCTCCTTACTGAAATTTGGTTGGACTCGACGGTTGTTCAATTCTAAATTCTACAAATAAAGCACGCAATTTGTCCTCCAAGCGTGATTCAAGCCGCGATTCAATCTGAGATTCCCATGCATCAAATTTGGCATCAATTGGATCTTGAGAAGCCATAGCATATGCCTATAGATCAAAGATGTCCCTATCTTTTTTCTGTTGACGGGTTAATGGCATGGGGTGGTGGAAGGTTTAGAAAAATTAAGGATCACAGAAAGGTACTGTAGTTGATTTTTACATCTAAAGTGTAGTAATTTGGACATAAAATGTCAGTGGTTTATATTGAGAATTTTTTTGACAAAACTAAAAGGAAATCCGCTGTTATAAAGTATCAAAGCTATCGTAAAAATTTCGTAGAGATTTAGAAAGAAAAATCGCAATAGCAAGATCAAACAAACTAAAAATTTTATAGAGATTTGGAAAGAAAAATGTAGTAGCAAGATCAAACAATCTGTACTATGCGGTTGGAATTCTGCAGTACATCTTTCATCTTAAAGATAAAAAACTTTACGACGAAAAGTTTATACAACAATATATGAATGATTTTTTTGGATTTTTGAATAAGGATCACTAAATTGCAGCAGCAATAAGGTAGGAAACCAGAACCTATTGCAATTCACGGGGAGATCAAAGGATGATCCGCGATGGTGGAGATGATGGCAGAATTTGTCGACGATCTTTTAAGCAATTATGAGAATTACTTTGGGCGGTTGTGGAGGGCTGATGGATAGCTATGGAAGAGTAGCGAGACGCTAAGAATGTTGCTTTGATACCAAGTGTTAGAACCCTCGCGGATTCTAAGCTTGGGGTTGATCTCTTTAGGGGATCGGCCTCCTTGGAACTCTATAGATGTTCCTTCCTCCAAGTTGTTGCTCAAAGTCTGCTAAGAAGATTCATATATTGCTTGTCAAAAGAGGATGAAGATATGACTATTTATAAAGCTTCTAAACCCCAACTCCTAATATGACTCCTACTCAAAACTACTTTTAACCAACTCCTAATAAGACTCTTACTCTAAAAAATAACCTCCCAACTAACTCTAACCCTAGCTTAAATACTCCTAATAGATCGATTCAACTAAAAATAATTGAAACGTACCAATTCACAAAAATAAAAAGACCTAAACCATAAATCCTCATGGGTCATGATGTCATTTAATCCAAAGTGAACATTTTTGTGCAACTTCGAAAACAAAAAGAATAACCCCCCACAGAAATGATTATAAGGGATATATCTGATAAAAAATTAATGGATTTTATAACCAATGGTTTTTTATCCGTACATTGACTTTCCAATTTTCCAATAAATAACCTAAAACATCAATCTGCACATTTACTCAGCACCATTAACGCTTTACTTTTAATTGTATGAAAGAAAAAAAATATTCATATATAATATGTTTCTACCAAGGGCACCAGGATAGATTTCTTTTTCATTTATCAATTTTATATTCATATTTTAATACATTTTTATTGCTCCAAATGTGAATCATAACAAATCTTCAAACTGAGTGAAATATAAATAATAATTTTGTCAAAAGGGCATTCTTGGTCACTACTACTATAAAAAGTTCAGCCCCAACTGGAAAACCAAGGAATAGAGTAATAATACCAATGTATGTCTACCTCCTTATGAACATTACCAGTAACTAGAATGCCAAAATCAACATGATATCTACCAAGTGATCAATACTTTCTAATAAAATCTTTCTGTATTTTGACCCTCAGAAGTGGTTCAATCAATAAATTATCAATCGAGTCAGACTGAATATGAATCATAAGAACAATTCATCATCATAAATGACTATTTCCTTGATATGGTTCTTTGTCCTTGCACATCGATCATGCATCAAATCACTATCGTCATTGATGATTGGTTATGACACAATTCTTCCCAAGACATCTTGTCCTCAGATGACTGTAGGCAAAATTCTTCCCAAGACATCAACATTATTGTTATTAGGTGATGACATGTACATTAAGCTTTCCCAGATATCGTTCTTGGTGGCCTCTGACACAATGCAGCTCCAGGTATCTCCTCAGCGGGAGCTTGACTTGCTCACATCTGTAGCATGGCAACAAGAGACAGCGGTAGACACGATTCTGCTAAATTCTTTGAGATGCTCATATGTCTACAGAAATACATCAACCAGAATGCTGGCTTCAGAACCTGAAAAAATTGAAGACAACAAAGAGGCAGGTGGTAAGCAATGAACAAGAAATTCAACAGAATATTATTGTTATGGGCAATGGCCAAGGCAAAGAATGCAAAGAATGATAATGATGACATGGAAGAATAACAAATGGAGAAAAAAACTTCATGCCATAGAAAAAAGGCCACAATATGAGGTGTCCAATAATTGCCAAAGCATGCAAGAATTCTTAACATAAATCTGTACCTAGAATTCAATCAGGAGTTAATGTCATATACTAGATGATTTTAAAAAGATAACGAGATGATTATTGGATAATGAATACGAGTAAATACCTCCGATGCCGGGTCACCAGACAATATCTGAGGATCATAGACCCCTCCATATGCTATTTCTGCCGTAATTCTTACATACTGACCCATGTACTGCATTAAGACAAATCAACTAAGAAAAAATATGACACAAACTTAAGGAGATTACTCCATGTAGTGAGACATTACCTGTACATATTGGGTCATATGAGAAGGATGAAACTGCTTAAGAAATGTTCCAAGTCCAATGGCCTAAAACAGAAATCGACTCAATATATACTATCATAAATTGGAAACATTATGATTTCAATATATACTATATTTAACAAATTCAGAAACAGAAAGAAGAAGCTCCTATAACTGTAGCAGAATCTATCCATTCTTTTAATGAATATACCCTATAACTAGGTCAATTGACAAGAAAAAATATAGAGGGACTTACAACAGGAGAAAAGTCAATTATGGATTTCTTTGTTTTACTGGTCAAAGTGCCCAAGTGAGAATCGAGTACATATTGTGGCAGCTGCATGGAAAATAAAAATAAACATTAAATTAAGAACAGAACCAAGTAAACCTAGGATCTTCTTTTCTCTGTTAGTATTTTGCAGAGCATAAATTTTCAGGAATAAGCTATTCGAAAAACTCAACCTCACATTGTGGTTTCCATTGAACACATTCACACAAAGGCAAATTCATGGTATAAAACAAATGGTTTATAAATGAAAAAAATCTGGCTTGATAAGGTGTGAGATACTGGTACATTCTCCATTACCCCAAAACAAATTCATGTTAGCCAGTCCATATGGTAGATATGAAAAAAAGACATTGTCCCCATCAATCGAGTCAGAGAAGAGGCACAAGTAGCCTTAAATAAGATGACTTGAACAAAGCACATTTTGCAATTATACAAGTCTAGGAGCAATTTCAAATATATACCAAAATATATATTAATATACCCTATGCTTAGGCAAAGTACTTTAGAGATTTTAAGACAAATCAGGCAAGAGTGTTTAAAAAAAAGAATCTATGGTGTGACAAAATAGAAGCATAAATAAAAAAAAATGTTAAAAGAACTCAATTTAGAATCTACATGTCTACATCTTTTAATGAGCATGTCTCCTGTATACATAAAAAACAATTGTTGTCACCTTATAAAAATACTATAGGTGATGTAGACCAGCAAGAGAAGTAGAGACAAAGAGAGTAAGAGAGGAGTGAGCTTAGATAGGAGAATAAGAGACTAGAAGAGAGAAGATGCAAATTTTTTCACTCAAATCTGAGCTATTTCATCCATTGACAAGCTCGACTATTTATAGGGTTTTAGGAGCTTTAGTACAATAAATGTGGGCAATGATTCCCAAGAGTAAACTCCTAGACTTCCTCCTTTTACTTCTAAGGGACTTATGTCTTTTAGAAACCCAAAATGCGGGCTCCTAGGAAACCTAAACAACTTTAAAAACTTATTGTAGTTGAGAAGAAAAAGATTGCACTTATTACAAAAGTAGTCCCAAGGTTAACATCTAGAAAGATTAAAAGACTCTTTATCTTCCCACAACTCATAGAATTACTAGGGTAGCTAATTAATGACTATTTGTTGAATTCTGTGTAGAATAAATTCTTCTAAAATCTTTTATAAACCTAAATGGTTCTCCATCATTCTCCCTGATGGAAAATAACTCGACCCCAAAGAGTGGTCTATAAAGTACTGGTCCAATAAGTCTAATGCAAAATCATAAAATTCTATTAAGTAATCCAAGTGGCATATTAGAAGTTGCACAATCACGATATTTCATAAGAAAGTGTTGAGTGATGCTAGTAGCAAACGTAACAAGACGATCATCAAGAATAGCCTCTTCATCATCCCTATATTGTGGAAGAGTCGATGCTTTGAGAGGATTGTCACTTGCAAGAACACTGATAGACGGAGGAGGTTTAAAAATACCATGATATGGAGTTAAATACTCCATATTGAAAACTAGACATATTTAAATTCGAAGGCAAATCGAACATATATGCATTAGATTTAAATTATTGGATAATGGGGAAAGGACCAATAGCTCGAGCATGTAACTTTTTGAATAAGTTTTTGGGGAATCTCTCAGGGTGAATACCAACCAACACAATCACTAACTTGAAACTCTAGCCTCCTATTATGTGCATTGGCAGCAAGTTTGTAACTTTCATTACCTTAGGTAATATTATGTTGAATATTAGTATGCAAATCCTAGATAAGTTGAGCGAAGGAGTGGGCTAATTTTTGAGGTGTGATAGTAAGTGCAAGGGTGCAACATTAATGGGTGGGTCAAGACTAAAGCCAAGAACAACTTTAAATGAGCTATTTCTAGTGGAACGATTGACTGAGTTATTGTATGCAAACTATGCTGTGGGTATCATTAAGTCCCAGTTTCTCAATTTCTCCCCAACTAAATATGTAAGAAGATTTCCCAAGGAATGGTTAACAATCTCAGTTGCCATCAATCTAAGGGTGAAAGGCTGAAGAGAACTTCAATGTTGTGTCAAATAGTTTCCAAAAGTTTTTCAAAATTTGTTAACAAAATTTACATCCCTATTATACACCATGGTTGAGGCAAACTGTCTAACTTAACCACTTCCCAAAAGAACAACTTAGCAATGTATGAGGTATGATTAGTCTTATTACAAGGGATAAAATGAGTCATTTTTAAAATTCGATCAATAACAACTAGAATAGAATCATGGCCATAGGTTGTTTTAGAAAGTCCACGAACAAAATCTAAACTCACATTTTGCATTGTGAGTGTGGAATGGGTATGATAATAGAAAATTCATCTAACAAGGATTTAACCTTAGTTAGCAGTGCAAGGGCTAGGAATCTCTTTAGTGATGATGGCCACACAAAATTGTTATCTAGGCTCTCTACTTCTAAAGACTTAGGATCCAGTAAATGGAGTCCCCTTGGTGGTTGGGGCTTGTGAAAAGGACTTAAGAGTTCTTGATTTGCCCTTTTTCGATGGTTTCACTAGTCATGATGATGTTTTTAACTTTGTACCAAAAGACAGTTGTTTTTCCTCCCTTGATTGATAACATCGAGGTCATACAGCCAAGGCCAACTTAGAAGAATATGGGCAACATCCATTGTTAGAACATCATAGTAAATTTCAGTCTAGTAATCACCTATTTTGATTGGTACCAATCACCTCTCAATCATGGGTAAAGTGGCCAAATGACCTTGAATGACTTTGGATGTAACTCTATCTTAAGGTTTAGTCTCTTGATGACATATTTTGAGACTAAATTCCTAGTGCTACCCCATCAATAACCAACTTCAAGTTCTCACTTTGCTTCGGATAAAAGTATAAAAGATATTTGTCCGCTTCATATTCATTGAAATCACTAGTACTAGAGAAAATAATGTGGACAACATTGACATGAGCATCTTCAATTTCTAGTTCATTTTCACTACCTAAGTGTGTTTCGAATTTAACTACTTGGTCTACTTCCTCGATTTGATCCCTTAGTTTTTTGTTTTAAGGTAAGGGTATGTTAAAGACAATGAGAGACAATATGATCTCTATTATGGTATTAGTGAGACTGGATTTGAAGAAGAACTAGTTAAATAATTAGTGACCGAACGAGATGGATGATTCATGGTTTAGGCAAAGGTTTTGCTTGTAGTTGGGAATTTTGGCTTGATAGAGCCATTACTTGAGTAGATAAGGAAATGATTCTATTGTTGAAATACTGAGAAGATGCACATACTTCTCAATCTTAAAGGCTCGACGAGTCCATGTGTCAGGAAAACTAAGGCCGACTTCTGTTTGATGTTAAACCTAAATATGTTAACAAACTTTTGAACAGTGATGATTTGGTTCTTCTTAATTTCACACATAAGCAAAAGTTGCTCAAATCGGGCCAAATATTCAGCCATACTAAAAGTCAACTGCTTATAGTTTAATAATTGTTCAATCATTTGGCTCCGAAAGTAGGTTGACAGTTATTTTTCCTTCAGTTTTTGTTTCATGACTTCCCATTTAGTGATGAGAGAGCTCTTGAAGGGGTTCAAGAGTCAAGACTATGTTGGACATGCTGACAATACTTTTTAACGGACTGTCACGGACTTAGCTGGTTTTGCCTAAGTCGTGCGGCACCCTCGCGCGTCCGTCCGCAAAGGTCAGCCTCCCCGAAGCCTCCCATTGTCCCTTAGGACCAACAAAAGAGAGAACGGGTTAAAGAGAACGCCTCAATCGGGATCCACAAGCAAACATATCCGAAAAACACTTCATAGACAATGCAAATTACAAACAGACTTTACAAGCTCTGAACAGTTGCACAACAAAGGGTAAAATGGTCCATTACAGACCGAAAAGCTCTCGAACGTGTCCACATGACACAACCTCTATTTACAAGCCTAAAGAGGCCACCAACCCGACTAACATGGGACTATTAAGCCTTCGGCCGCCCCTCTACCTGCTGTACGAGGCATGAACATGCCAAACGGCACGGACATGTATAAGCATTACATCGAACACCTTGTTTAGAAGTTTGTCCGTGACATTCTCCCCCACTTATTCCTTCGACGTCCTCGTCGAAGCCTTTGCTGAGTCTTCAATCTTCTGCTCCAGCTGCAATGCGCCTCCTGGCTCCCAGCTGCTCTCTCCGCTGCTGTTTTTGAGTAGTCGAACCTTTGATCCGCCATGCTGCTTCAACTCACCCATGACTTTGACTCTGGTGTGGGGTTGGCTGAGCTGTGTTGATCCTTGTTGATTCCTGCGGATCTCCCAGATGAAGGAAAAGACCATCCTTACTGCGCCAGTCTCTCAAATTTCACATGCTGCTTGAACTGGGTGGATGCTTGTTGGAGCTTTAACGAGCATCGCCTCGCAAACTTCTGAAGTTTTGGGTCCTTCCTCCACAAAATCTGCTCATTGACTCTTCTTTCAGTTAGTTGTCACATCCAAGTAGGTTCGCATCACTTCCGTTTTCGATTGGCATTTCGTTGGGAAATGAAGCAGACAATCTACTCTCAGTAGCACTGATCACCGTTGGTGAGGATTTGACAACTATTGTCTTCCATTATCTTCGAAGGGTCTTTGAACTTGTGCAGAGCTCCTCTGTTGGATAGATAAGAGAACTGGGGTACTCGGTTTCGCCCATTCTCTTAAGAGTTGAGAAGGCAAAGGTTACTTGACTTCGCCCGCCTCCTCGAGGTTGTACTTCATGCATCGAGCTGGTTACTGGCCTTCGCCTGCTCTTTGCTCACACTTCTGAAGCACTTGAAGTGTTTGCACTCCTTGCGTTGAGTTAGTTACTGTGATTCACCTTCTCAATGCCATTGAACTTCTGGAATGCAGGAAGTTTTCACCCCAACTTGAAGTAATTCTTTGATAGATGAGGTCGCCTCTGGGATTGTACCGTCTTCTCCATCAACCCTGCCGCCTACTCCATTGAGTAGCAAAGGTACAGCACCACGTACTGCCTGCTTCGTTCCTTGGTCGTGCACTCTTGCATGACCCGAAGTCCTTCACTTACGACTATCTTGATGAG